GGGGGGCACAGGTTTACACCTGCTCCCTGTCACCAGCGTCACTCCTGTAGACAAAGACCAAAAACTTGAGATTATTGCTGCAGGCAGAGGTTGCTTTTTCAGCATGAGACAGGGTTTTTCCTTGCCTCCTGGATAATGTTTGTAGTGCTACACAAATTCCCCAGCTGGGACTTTGTAGTTTGGATTGTACCTTAAAATGCTCGCTTTCATCCTTAAAAATAAATGGTTAAATTCTAATTGCGAAAGAACTTATGCTAATTGCTCCACTGCCATAAGTAACATGTATCCAACATAAAGATGTCTGACCAGTTTGCTCAGTTTGATGCTCTGGTTCATTTTCCAAATCTCGTACTCCTTGCTCTACTCTGTGTAAATACAGCTACATCACCATCCATTCTAGGGGATTTTTCTCTCCAAAAACATGGTATCTAGAGCCTGGGAACCTTATGACAGTGCTCTCAGATGTCTGTGAAGCAACCATCAGAGCGCTGGTGCAGCACTGTTAGTCTATTTTAATAAGTCCAACTTCCGCAGTAGCCAGCTGAGACTAAAAGAACAAGCTGTTGCAACACTGGGCAGCAGATTTCACTGAAAACCTATCAGGCTGCCATCAGGCTTCCCAGGGGAGCAGAGATGTTTGCTCTCTTAAGAGCAAATGTTGTAACGGGTTGCACACACCACATAACCTCTGCTTACGGAGAACTCCAGAGAGAGAAACATGCAGAGGAATGTTCCCTTCTCCATCACTGAATATGAACTGCTTCCTACCTAACTGTACTGCTTCTAGTAGCCTGTGCTAAAGTTTGGGAACTATGGGTGAAAACCAAGTTCAGTGTCACGGAGAAGATGCTTCTAGTCCTTGGAAAGCAGGACTCTGTCAAACATTTTTTATTTATTTTGGCAGACGCAGAGAATTCTCATTGTACGAGTCATGTTTTCACTTCCCATTTTTTTTCCTAAGGAAAAAAAAATTGCTGGCTTTGGTTTGCACTCAAGAGGAGCAGAATAAAAGAGAACAGAGGAAATGGAGGGAAGGTGTGACTGATTCAGGAAATGGCTGTCTAGGACCAGAAGAGCAGGGTGTGTGGTAAAGTACTCCTGCACACAAAGCCCTTTACTGAAAGGGCCTGAAGAGGGCCCGTACTGAGCTGTGGCTTCCAAAGGGCAGTAGGAGAGAGAAATAACTGACTTCATCACTACTTGGTAAGCATAGGACATGGACACAGGACTTCCCTTGCACCCTTAAGAGCAGTCATGCCAAGACCAAAGCTCTCAAAAGTAATTATCTACAGCTAAAGAGCCAAGGTGTGTTCCCTGTTTACTAAAGGTGGGGGTGGACAAAGGCCAAAGGCAAGAGCCTGGCAGAATTATGATCTAGAGCAAGAACAACTGAGCAGAAGCATTAGGACCAGAAGATGGTCATAGGAGTACAAAAAAGACAAACCCTGGTTCTACAAAGAAGACTGACCAGCTGGGATGTAGGGATTCTGCATGCACCACATGATGACATGAAACAGGTCTGATTAACTATGTCAGCCTGTGTGACTGTCTGGGAGGGGACAGAAGGGACAAAGTCAACCCAATTCCAGAAAAGTCTGAATTTCCTGCACGCTGTGCCAGAAATTCAGCGGATCAGGATTTGAGTGCCACATCCATCAAAAGTACTGAGCTCCTGTAAGCAATTACCCTGAGCTTTTCCCTTCTCCTACTGGACTGACCTGCATTGCCATTAAGGCATCTGTGCTTCCAGCTGCTCCTACTAAGATGCCTGTCATTTGCCTGGAGGAAAGGCTCTGCCCTATTTTTCCATGCCCTATGCTTACAGTGCCAAAAATGCCACTGTGCCCAAGTCTCTGCCCAGCGTTAGAGAAAGGGGGAGTTGGCAGTTTTAACTAGCATGGAAGGGTAGGAAGAAGAGCCTGTCAAAGCAAAGCCAATCCCCAGTGCTTTGTGAGAAGGATGCTAGTTTCCCAGCATCATAAAAGATGCTGTTTGACTGCTGTGATTCACCTTCCCTTGGCACAGTCCTGTATACAGCCATTTTCATTAAAAAAAAAAACAAAAAAAAACAAACAACCCTCCCTAAAGAAATGCTTTGAAGTCTCTATCAGCTACTTTAGAGGACAAAAGCAGTAACCTAAAAACTTAACATGGTCATTCTCTGGTTGCAGAATGCTCAATTGAAGCTTTAGCCTTGGAACGATTTTGAGAAATACTTCATCCTTTGAACAATGGTTGCCTGGTCGAGCTTTCATCCCCTTCCAGGCCAGATGGGGATCTACAGTTCAGGCAGCTTAGGGATCTCCACTGTCACACAATGTAAGACACTGCCGCCTTACCTTGGAAGAACAAGCCGCTCGGTAACTTTATTGCTTCAGATGATACTGCCAACCATACAACAGTATCGGCTCCCTGGGCCTCTGTGCGCAGAGAATTCTTCATCTTCTGATAGAAATCTGGCATTGATGATCGCACAGCTAGAAAGAATAACAATGGAATGGTGGTCTGCCATCCAAGGCTTTTTTGATAAAACAAAAGAGCAGCTTAAAATTGCCACTGTAAGTGTAGGAAGAAGACAAGGCATCTCAGAGTTTATGAAAGAACGAGCTAGGATTACGATGACTTGTGGGGGAATAGGGCTAAACTGCCAGATGATCCACCAGTTGTTTGTTTGGGTTAAATTACAGGGACAAAACTAGTAGGAGCTGAGAACAGGATCAGTGGGAAGTTCCTGAGCCAATTCCATTCTAAACTGCAAAGAAGTAAGGCATGGAGGAAACAAATACCAAAAAACAGGTATTCTACCAGGATTTTTAGCTCTTATTTTCTCACCGGTTTTAGGAAACCAATTGCAGCACTGTATTTAAAAACTGTGTGGTGAACAGTACCTAAACCAATGACATAATTAGTGTTTAAACTCTAGGTTCTTTTTATTTTGTCCAGCAGGTGATGATTGAAGGCCCATCCCCTGCAGCTGTTTATTTTGGGGAGTTGAAGAGTCCTTGAACTTTAAGGTAGGATAACATTACGGTTCATTAGGTTTGAAATCCACAAAGAATGTGCAAAAATAAATATATTTTAAAGAAAAAGAAATACGAGGATATTTAGTTGGAAAGGGAAGTTTTCAAGCATAACGTCGATGGGCTAAATGCTTCTGTCACCAGAAACAAATTTGGGAAACTGCATCCCTAGAAAAGACCTGGAGACTAGATTGCTAGTCTGCATCCCAAGCTTGGGTGTTAGGTGCTGGTAACATATTGCGGAACGCAACATGCATACTGGATAACTGATGCTGGCCTGCCTGCTGAGAGACAGTCACTGAAGAACAGCTGCAGCTCAGACAAAGGGCTGTCTGGCCAAACATGCTGCTTCTCGATGGCAGTAAACGTTTAGAGGAAGAGCAGAGGAACGTGGCTTGAACAATGGTGCGTGCTCCATTTTTCTATATGCCCTTGCAAATTCCCAAGGTCCGCATGTTGGTACTCACAGAGACAAAAGCTCTTATCTGTGTGTTTAACAGTCCCACTACAAATGTAACTTAAAGGTTAGCTTAATGCACTATGGCTCTGCTGTGCATTTGTGCGGGGCTGGAACCATTCATTGCCCATTATTATTCTCTGGCTATACACAGAGAGCAGACACTGTGCAGAACAGAGCTACCAAGGGGGTACAAAACTACTTCAAGCACCAGTCCAGAGCCAAGGAATCATTGCACCTGTTGGAGAAATCTACCAGAAAGTCTCATTTCTCTTTGCTTTTAGACTAATCCTGAAAAGAAAAAAATATAGTCAGTGTCAGGCAGACGTTACCTGGAGTATCTGCCCAGCCGGGGTGCATAACAGAGAAATGGATGTTTCTGTGAGATTTTGCCCACTGTTCTGTCAAGACGACTTGCTGTCTCTAGGATAGAGCACAAAGAGCCAGAGTAGCATCAAGTTCAATAGCCTGTCCACCAAGTTATTTCCCAGGGAGATAAAACTACACCAAATATGCTGTAAATACCAGGGCATTTATGTATAGCAGAAATATACCCTTGCTCATCCTGATTGGATTTACTGGATAAATCTGTTGGAGACTACCACGGTCATTGCAATCCATATCCTGGCCACAAGCTTACTTTTAAAGTGGTTACACTGCTTTTACTGACCATGTCTACTTGCTGCAGACTGTAGGTAAGAACTAAACAGGCAGAAAGGGTTTCTCAGCTAAAGACAGTTCTCGCCCTTGAGACTTAAATCAAATCAAATGCATGTCTAGCCAAGCTCTCTGCACAAGATCATATGCACTCATAAGTGCATGCCGTCATACTCCTGAAGATTACAGCTCTGGACGGGTTGGATGCAATGGGAAAGCAGCAGTGAACGACAGGCTTTGTGCAAAGCAGATGGTATAAGCCGCCTAGCAAACAAGTGCTGGGCTTTGTTTTCAAAGCCATGGACTGTACCTTGTTTTGTGCATACACCATAGTTCCATCAAATGTCCCATTTCCCGACTGCAAGTCAGATATGTTTAATTTTTGAACTAGCATGCCACCCGAAGAAACAGTTATCTGTAATCAAATGAATGAAAAACAAATGAATGAAAAGCAAACAGATGAAAAACAAAACCAGGAACTCCCCACAATCACACTCATGCATGTAATGTGGTGTTCAGGCCATATTTTGAAGTGCCTGGGAAGAGGATTCCTCTGCATGCCCTCCACACTACGCTTGTACTCGTGTGTGGAGCATACCTGGAGATGAGGTGGAAGACATAAAATTTTTTTTAGAAAGTGATTTTCATTCAAACTGTTGTGGACTCCACCAGGGAACTTTGTGCTTCTTCCTTTTGAAAAGTAATTGGGAGAAAAAAAATAGCAGAATAGCACTATTTGTAGTTTATGTTTAGCATTTATAGAAGCTAATGAGAAAACAAGAGACACTGTACAAAAACTTGGGAAACCTCATTTAAAAAAATGTACCTGCTGTCCGGTTTTATACCAAGACCGGTAAGGTTCTTTTAAGCCTACACTCCTGTTATAGGTCTTTTGCACTATGCTGCAAGAGATAACTTGCCCCAGGGAAAGTAAAAGGGGAAGTTTCCAAAGGAAGTGTTTTACTCTACTTTCCAATGAAGGGTTGAGAGTAGCAGGCAGGATCTTTACCTTGGAGAAGGAGATTGTTGTTAGCAAAATCCAAGAGGATTCTAGAGATGCTTACAGCATTATAACTAATCCTGCGTTGCTAGCACAGTCAAAGAAATGCTGTCACAAACCAGAAGGTAAGAATAGTAAAACACCACTTTTCAACAGCATCACAAACTCACCACTCTGGCATCAGCCTCTTTTTCCAGGAGGGGCAGCAGGGCAGTTGTCAGAATGTATGTACCTACAAGACAGACACACAGACACCAACATTGACTTTTCTTTCTAGAAAAGCTTTCTTCTCTCTCCATCCCCTATCACAACATCTCTTTATTTCTGAAACGTCATCTGAATTTAATAATTTTCTTGATGCTTTACCTGCAATATGCCTATTCAACTTGTAGTGGCCTGCATTGCTGCATACTTCTCAAAAGGCACACCAGTTATTTTATAGACTTTTATGTTTATTGTACCTATAGAGCAAACTGATCACTACATTCCAGCCATGACTATGAAAGCAAAATGGCTCAGGTATGGATTTCCTTGTGGGTGACGTGATACCAGTGAAGAAATAGGGAAAGCATTTCCACTCCATGTGTGGCATATATACACATATCTATGCCAGCTCACAAACAAGAGAAGGAAACTGTGCTTCACACTTGTGTTTCTTAGGCCCTTGCATATGCACGTAAGACTCATCCTTTTTTACCTTCTCACTGTGAAATTACTCAGAGTGCCCTGACAGTTCTGATTTGTGTTGCACACAAAAACTGCTTCTTAAATCCCCAGCATGACTATTACAGAAGATAAGGAACCCTTGGGGGGAAAAATATTGGTGTTGAGTGCCCAAGGCTGAGCTCAGATTACGTGGGGAAACTGAACTGTGTCCTTCCCCACTTTAATCGTGTTCATTTAGCATAGATTTGTACACACCACACAAACATATTCCATTACAGCTGTTACCATGACCAGCAAAGTTTGTTATTCAAAACATTGTTCAACTGCTAGTGTGTTTGATTCAGACACACCTAGTGATGTTTCACCCGCTCAAGTGTGACACAGGAATTTTTGTTTGTTTTTATCTTTCAGAGATATTTTTACTTTTTTTCCCCTTTAAACTGTATTTAAAAAAAGAAATATTTAATTCAAATGAATCTAACCCACTTAGTCTAGTGTTTCTTCACTGAGTATAATACTTCCCTCTCATCTCTTCACAAATGGCTCTAGTTCAACAATTCTATGTCAGCGATAAACGTATTTTTTTCCATGAGCTACCAAGGCCATGTTTTTCACTAGACATGAAGACTTCAGCATGTGTCTTTATAACCTCTCTTCCACAGAGGCAATGAGATCATCCAGTTAAAATACAGCATGTTTATAAATACGCTACCAAAAAATCAAACATGTTACATGCTTGGTGAACAAATTGTTCATTTCCCCCGTCAGTCACAGCAGTCTTCATTTTCTCTCTAGAATCAGAGGGACATCCATATGCACACAATATATTTAAAACCCTGGCAAATCAAACAAAGCGAATGCACAGCAGATGAGTAAATGCAGCCTGTCTTCAGCAGAAGATGCAAGCAAAGGCAGTTGCCAGTGAACGACGAGAGCCCGTACGTCTCCCCTGGTAGTGGCAGGGAGACTGAATGATGACATCATTAGGACAAGAACTACTGCTGATTGTCATGGGAGACTGCCACGATATTTAAAAAAAAAAAAAAAATCACTTCAGTATGAGTGATCCAGGCTGAGAGCCTGGATTAAATTCTGATTTGCTATGGATTCTTCAAATGCAAGTAATATCACGTCTTGGTTAAATATGCTGCATTTCCTAAAGGCAGAGCTGCAATACACCAGCTATAAGGATGCTTGATTTTACTGTCCTGCAGATTAATTTACACTTTTAAGGGGCTTCGTGTTGGTTTGTTAATTCTAAAGGGATGCAAAGATGAATGCATTAACATTGCCTCATTAACAACTGGGGTTTGTTTTGTTTTCCAGCTGGATGAGAGAAACATTCAATGCCAAATATCCTGCTTATAGCAACTAAAGCTTGTCAGAAGTTTATGTGCTTACTAAAACCACAAACTAACGGCAAAGCCAACGTCTCCTCTCTTCCTCAAGTTTATTAAGAATTCAGTAAATCCCACAGAGCCAGAGCATTCAATCAAAACCACTCATTTGCTTTGAGACAGAGCACAAAAAGACAAGTTTTGACCCCAGCTTCCTATGGTAAGCACTAGCATCTCAAAACACAGATGCAACACATCGGTCATTAAGACTGAAATATTTCATTTCTCCCATACTAAATATTTCACCAACTATTGTCCCCATTCTAAGTGTTCAAACACAAACTCCTTAGTACTTTAAAAAATATACTTGGATATTTTAAGTTTTTATTTGCATGGACTGGTCTGTCAGGCAAAACAGCCTGGACAAGATATACCTTATTAATAAGGTATATTGTTGTTTGGAATACATCATCACCAACTGAAACCCCCACATTTTTATTCCCATAAAAGCAGACACATAGTTTGACAGTACATTCAAACAAATAGGAACAATGCTAAGTATTTTGCCAAGCACAGCTGTATTGCAGCATGCAGCAATACAGAAATTAATTTCTAAGTAAAAGGGAAGCTGCAAATGAATGCATTGCCTGCCACAGTCCTTATAAAAACATGAATTGCATTAACAGTATAAAAACAAAGAAGGAAAATATTCTTTTTTTAGTATATAAAAAAAAACCAAAACAAAACCCCCAAACCTTTGCAAGGAAAACCAAGACTGATTTAGTAGAAGAAACTACTCTTCCCTCTCCCCCCACTTAAGAAAATCAAGACGACATCCAAATTGTGTATCCTTTTGTTAATAATTGATTATTAACATCAATGTACTGGATGTCTGCCTCCAAAATGAATGCTTCAGCATTCTAGGATGTTTCCTTGACACAAAAATCATTTTTACCTGTTAAAGAAGAAATGTCCTCCCACAGAGCTTAGTTAAAAATGGTAAAGCATATAAAATGTGATTAATGCTTAATTATCACTGTGTTCAAACTGTACAGATTTTTTTGAGGTTTCTTTTTTTTTTTTTTTTTAAATTGTTTAAAAGACCAAGAAAGAACACAAAGGTGCATGGAGGGAAAGGTGATGATCAACAGTGATGTGCCTTGCACTGAAAGCATTAAGCATTGGGTATCTTGGTGATCCTGCCCCTCCTTTGAAAGGGCTTTCGGGATTCTGCCAGAAACAAAGGAAGACCTTTTTTCCCAGAAAACAAGACCTACCACTACTCCCAGGGGATTTTGGAGAAAGTGTTTCCTTGTCACAAGCAGATACTCTGCAAACGGAGATGCTCAGCCTTGAGGCCACCAGGTTTCCCAATGCCTGTTCCCCAGCAAGTGCGTCCACAACAGGAGGAACTGAGAGCCCTCTGGGACACGTGGCACCTGGGAGCAGGATGTTTCTGTCTGAACAGTTCTCCTGGACTCTGGCCCATTTCTTGCACACGTCTGAGTGCCTGTGGAAAAGAGCAGGCTACTTTGAGTTACTCACATGGAGGAAACTTGAGCAGCAGCCTCTCTTTCTCACATGCACCTCAGATGCAGCAGGCAGAGCTACGAGTACACCTACAAGGCAGTGCTGGACATACGGTGTGCTACCTCCATTTATGACTGTGTGACAGAGGTCAGACTGTTATACATCACCTTTTCCTGCCATTGGAAGGTATATTGTCTACATGGCCTGAAAGCTTGGTTCCCAATGGTGTAAAGGTGGAGGAAAGAAAAAAAAAAAAAGTCTTTGCAGCAAAATGGTATACAACACTTCCCTTTGAAAAGGAGTGTGTGCTGTGCCGTAAAGGAGTCCAGCAGGACAAATTCAGGAGCTTGCTCAGAAGCAGGAGGAATGCAGAAGGGGGTTAGCATCCAGTCCATCACCCACACATACAGGATTTCATCTTGCCCTCACCGAACTCTGCTGAGGTGAGGAGGTGACTAGAGAAACCTACTGGACAAGCTACATCCCTGTTCCAAGTAATGAAGTTTGACACAGTACTTACTGGCCATGTTTTCTCCATTTAAAGAGGCTCCTGGGATTGATGCACAATTTCTTTTAAAGATAAACATCCTCTCAACATTTGCTTTTCTTTGGAAAAATTCCTGTAAGTTTTATGTCTTGAAGCTGAGCTCACATAATAGGAAACCATGTATATGGTGTAATACAGCGTAATTAAAACCTTCCTGTAAGGATGCAGCAACTCCACCATTATACACCATTCAACCAACTCTATCATATGGTAGATTAGACAGTGTGGGTTGTGAGTCTGTGCATTACACATGGTAATTCCAATAAAAGTAACAAGCATGGCACTTAATGAGAACACACTTTGTTCATACACACTCCCTCCCAAGTGCTGATCACAGTAATGTTTAAGTTTCATGTTTACTTGCTTTTGAAAAAAAAAAACCCAAAAAAACCCCACACCATGCATTCCTTTGTGGCCCATTTTGTAATTGCTCTATTTGCTCTGAGATCTTCTCAATTTAGTTGAATAAACTGATATTGTGTTCTAATTAACAACTCCAGTTTTTAACTCCACAGACTCCTCTGTCAACCTGTATGAGCAGTAATTCAGTGGTTTCACAATCACAGAGTGAAACTTTAATGATGCAGGTATAGAAAATGAGGAACTGTTATGGAGATAAACATTCAATTCATACACTAAGTTATTTAAAAAAAAAAAAACAAACCACCAAAACCAAAACAAACAAATGACTACAAAAATCAGCCTGTCTACTTCATAAACTCCTAAATAAAGTTAAGCTACCTTTTGTATGACCTGAAGTAGAAGCTGAGGGGACTCTATGGAAAACATTACTGTTAGGTCTTGCGGGGAGGTAGCTCTGCACATTCTTGCAACAATTAGTTCACCGTGGATCTCACCATCTCTACCACAGCATAACCAAAGTGAAAGCTATCCCTGTGCAAGTGACAGAAATCTACAGTGTAGACTGGTCTTTCGCAGTGTCTTTCTGTACTAGAACATGAAACTAAGCAAAACACAGAACAGCCCTAACAGAAAATATAAATGAACATTGTGAAGGCAGATTTCCAAAATGTTGGCGTTGTAACTCAGCTTTAGCCTGCTAAAACCTGGAAGACTCCTTCGGATTCATGTATTTCAGAGTTGGACATCAACAGGATATCACATATAGTAACAGTACATGAACACATACTC